GCGCCCTTCTGAGGATAACCGGATCCCATCCCGAGGCTGGCCAAGGCCAGGTCCTTCCCGCACTGGCTGTGGAGCCTGTTCACCATCTCCTGGTTCCCTGCTGACATTATATTTTCTAGGTTTTCAGAAACAGGGTCCTGAGGATCTTTTCTGATTTCAGTGTCACACTAGAAGATGCAATAAAGGAAATACAAAGAGCAATTTTCTTCCTTCTATGGAAGGTAACAGAATATTTTTGATAAAATAAACTTAAAATAGTAATAGTTCATATATTGTGTATCATGATCTGAAAATTATGACAGCACACATGAAAAGTCTCTCTTCCAAAGAAGCAACAAATTAATGACAAAACTTTGATTTTCCATGACCATTTATGCTGTAGTATATATGAAGTAAATTGCCTAGTAGGCGTATATTTTTAAACATTTGTGGAACGACAGAATACATATTTTGGGAAATTTTTGAACTTCTCCTCAATTCCTACTTTGCTCCAGCCTCTCTTTACATATCTAATTATTTATGTGTTTGTCATTTTTGTCATACAAACAAACCCATATGACATTCATACTTGCACAAGAGACATATTGTACTTTGCATTCTGGTCTCAAATTTTATCCATTTACCAGCACATACCTTGAGTTTAACTTTCTTTATCATGGAGAAGTTCTCACCTGTCTACAGGTAACATACTTTCCTTCTCCACTCACCTGTAGCTTAACACAGACAGTGTTTCCAAGACCCGGCTATGGCCAGTGTGCTGTTATATACATGGGTATGTATAGATCCTCATAATATAAGGAATTTAAGTACTTCAGAAGATGCCTAGAATGAGAGCAGGATGCAATAGAACAAGGAATGCCAGTGGGGATGCTGGGGACAGACGCCCTTCCACAGTGCTGGTGGGAAAGCAAAGCAGTGCAGCCCGAGGGCGACTGGTATGGAGACTCCCAGGGAGCCTTGCCCGTGAGTCTCTGCCCTGGGAGTGATGAAGCTGGCGCTGCGCCCATCCCTAGCTCAGCTCTACAGGGATCTCCAAGATCAAAGAAGCATCCAGTCAGTGGCTGTATGCTGTGACCTTCTCACTTGATGCAGTAAACCTAGCCTGTTGGTGCATAGTCATAGGTCAGTGAGTCTCACTTTCTTCCACTTCTCCTCCTATTTATCTTTGTCTCTCTCCAAATCTGAGGGCAGAAGTAAACTAAGGACAATAAGAGCCTCCTTGGAGCTTAGTGCATAAAATAGACACAGACACAATAAGACAGTAGAAATTATGAAGTCCTCAGAGTGTTCTGTGTTTGTCTGTGGACACAGTAGGACCAAGAATGAAAGACAGACACCGCTCCTCAGGATTTTCGGGTCACTACTTGCAACTCCCCCAAACACACACATAACCCTGGAAGGATGCCTGTCTTTAACAAAGAGCAGGCATCAGTCAAGGTAGAGAGTTACCATTCAGTGTGGTACCTGGAAAAGTTAGACACATTTTAGAAGCCAGTACATGACAAGGGACACCAGATGGGATATGAAACATTAGTCTGACCAAGAGGAACTTGGCTTGGTTGTTCAGAAGTATTGTGGCCAAAAGACCTGATAAAGTTGAAATTGCTTTACTGAAATGCTTACATGGCCTTTTGTGACCCAGATTCATGAGGCTCATTGGGAAGCCAAGCAGGGATCCTGCCTGAACAGTGCTGTGCTGTGTGTGCATGCTCCCCAGCTGACCTCCCAAAGTCTCCTGTGTCTGCAAGGCAATGAGAGTATGAACGGTTTCGTCCATCCCTGAGCTCATTAACTGAATGTCATATGAGGAGCTGGGTCTGGTTAGAGCTGGACCACTGAGGGTGTGGCCTGCAAGAGTGCTTCTTGTCCCCAGCTCTCACTTCTCTGCATCTTGGCTTCCTGAGATGAACAGCAGGCTTCAGAGGGCCCCTCTCACTGTACTATCTCTCCCTTAAGGTTAGCCAACTGTGAACAGAATCCTCTCAAATCAGGGACACTAATTAAAACTACTCATTGCTCAACCAAGTCAACACCTGAACTCTACTATCAAATTCCATGACCTGACAGCCCAGAAATAATAAGCTCTTCCTTTCACTGAATTAGGAAAGGCATTTTCAGATCTGTGCTGCTGGAGCTGAGGCAGTGTTAGAGAGAACAGGATCCTGCACCAATCCCCGGCTGTCAGTATACTCGGAGACCTTTAAAGCCTGGCCTCCACTGAGCAAGCTCTCGGCAGGGGGAGGAGCCAGGAGGAGAGTGGGGCGGCCCAGCCTCATATTGCTGCTTCCCTGCTTGGTTTACGTGCTGGCTGTGGCCCTGCGGGGGGCCAGCGCCTGTAGACAGTGATTCACGGCAACATCTTCTAGGTGCTGATGCTGAGCAGGAAACCTGTCCAGACCCGCTACTCCTGCACCTGAATGGGCTCCATTTGCAATCCGGATCCAACACAGACCAGCAGATTAGGATATGGTACTAGATTTGTTGGGAAGAGCAGAGCTCATTGTTAATCCCTCAAATAAAGATGCTTCTCTCTGGCAGCCAGAATGTTAGCCCAATAATTTATAGAGAAATACAAAAACTTGTATTAAGGCCTAAAGATTACATAGAGTCATTATATTCACAGCTGTTGTAGCATTTTATAAAATTGCAATATTTTTATTTCATGCTATTTTCAATGGGAAGGTCATCAGTGGTTCACCTGACTCCCAGTGGCTCCAGTGGAGGGATAGGAAGCACCTGTGCCGTCTTCATTACGTCTCCATGGCAATGAAATCATTATTTTTCCTCTATTAACAGAAATCTACATTGGAAATGTCCTACATCCATCCTAATGATCATGAGCTACTGAATCTTTCTGTCTCAACGGATCTGGGGAGTCTAAACAAGGACAAGTAGAGACAGACATGACAATTTTGACATATAGCCGTTTCTTTCTCCAATGCAAGGAGCCTCGCCTAGGTTCAGCATGACAACCGCATAAGTTCAAGGATCCTTGGGTTCATTTTCATCATGAGGGAAAGCTCACAGCATCTCAGCCGGGGGCTCCCCACATCTGCACCCCCAGGGCACACTCCTGTGCTCTAGGGGCAGCTTCTCTGCAGCCTGGATTTCTGCCAGCACAGGGGCTATGAGGGAGACTGCTCAGCAAAGGCAGTGTCCTGGTGAGGGCAGACTTGGATCAGTCATCACCGTCACACACAATGCCAGCGTCTCGTTTTTCTTTCAGTCTTTGGCAGGGAGGGCATCCTGTGAACCTCCACCAGCCTCGCTGTCTGCATCTCCATTCCCTGGCAAACCAGAGCCAACAGACTGAGGAGTATCATGGCTCCAGCTCAAACCTGGCCAATGACTCAACTTCATATCTCAAAACTCTGCTGCTCACTGAGCAACCCTATCAGGTCCAGTGAGAGCTAGGTGGACCCATCCAGCGGTGCCTCAGGCACCTGTGACCCTCACGATGAGTGCTCCGGAATTCACTGTGATGTGTGACTGTGCGTGCTAGACCTTGGTAAGCTGGCCTGCCCCAGACCTCCTGCTCTCTGTGTTAGGGCCTGAGCTTCAAGGGAACTTGGGTGGCTTTGGCCTGTTCTATCCTAGTTTCAGAGACAATCATCTCCACATGGGAAGTACAACTGTTTCATCTGGGTCCTATGCAGCTCACCCATGGTCCTCCCTTTACCATCTTTGTGCTGAATTCCAGCCATACTGTTTCCTCCTTGCACACTCAGAATTCAGAGAAATGCAGCTCAGCAAACCCGGAAGGCAGAGCAGAGGGCCCGGGGTGAGCATTCTCCAGGGCGGCCCAGCTCATGAACACAGGTACATACCTAAGTGCCTCAGCTCTCCAAACTCACAAGAAAAAAGTCTAAGCTTTTCTGGCTTTTTCTTCCAGACCCTTACATGCCTTTCAATGCCTGGCTGCAGGTGACAAGTGTCTCACTGGTGCTTGTCAGTAAAACAGCAAAAGGGCTGATTATTGTTCACTTCTCATTGAGACTCTTAATGTTCAATTGATGATCTCAGAAAACTGTATTCTGGTCACTTTAGAGAATCACATGCCAAACTCAAAGCAAACAAACAAGAAAACCTCCTGTCGCAATGTCAAAAGGATGTACAGCAGTACACAGTCTTGGATAATTAAAGCCACATAGCCTTATGAATTTCCATGAATGAAAGCAAGCCGTTGTGACTCTTGCCCACACACCAGGCGGAGCCTAGACAACTGCGCACACCTACAACACCAGCTCTGTGGAAGCTGAGGCAAGAGGATCTGAGCTCAAGCCCAGCCCTGCAAGACTAACAAGACAAAGAAGGGGAGGGGACCACAGAATGGGGACATTGGAGTCCATCCCAGCTAGGGGAGAAGGAGGGAGGAACAGGCAGTGACACAGAGAGAGAGAGAGAGAGCACAGTGAGCTGCTCTGTGGCCTGAACCTCAGCTGCTGCTGCAGCCCCGCAATCCATACTCCGCACATGGGCTGAGCTGGGT